ATGTGCATCTGACTGGTCACTGCTGGAAACAGGAAACTGGATTAGGTGGTCTGATCCAGCAAGATTATTGTAGGACCTCGAGCAGAGCCCCTCCCTTGTGGCTGAGAAATGGCTACCAATAGAGGACACCAAGACGCACAGCGCCTCCTGAGCTCCCTGAGGACAGAGGCCGCTTGAACGGCGCACTTGTGTGGAGCGGCACGGCTGCTCCTGGAATACAAATCACTGATAAGAAGCAAAATGGCTCTTCCAGGAATGCTCAGAATGGCCTCCTTGTGATACGAGACAACAGAGAGGGACACACACATACACGCACACTTATCTCCGGAGCTGCCACTCACTGTATCAGCATCCTCTTCAAACAACGTAATTACCGCCAGGAGGAGGGGGGAGCTCGTTTGCATGCCTGCGTGGACGTGTTGCATGCTCGTAAAATTGATTAAAGTCATAATTAGCTGGACTAACGGCTCTTATAAAATATATTATCAGATCCCTTGTCTCTTAGGGTGAATCGGTGGTGTGGGTGGGGAGGAGGAACCACAAGGCAGCTGCTGGGCTAGTCAAACCGGCAGCTTTTGAGATCTGAACAGCAAAGCAACCAACCTCCCTGCCTGGTGGGGGGGGGGCTGTTGTTGCTCTAAGTATTTGTACCCCTCTTTTCCTTGACTCAAAACTGCCACACTTGATAGTTGTTTTCTGTTGCCCCAGAAGGTCAGACCAGAACCAACCGGTTGAAATTAAATCAGAAGAGTTTCCGGCTAAACATTAGGAAGCACTTCCTGACAGTTAGAAGAAGAGATTGGATTTATACCCCACCCTTCACTCGGCGTCTCAGAGCGGCTTACAAACTCCTTTCCCTTCCCCCTCCCCACAACAGACACCCTGTGAGGGAGGTGGGGCTGAGAGAGCTCTTTCCAGAACTGCCCTTTCAAGGACAGCTCTGACAGAACTATGGCTTTCCCAAGGTCATCCAGCAGCTGCAGTTCCTCAGTGGAACAGGGTTCCTCAGGAGGTGGTAGGCTCTCCTTCTTTGGAGGTTTTCAAACAGAGGCTAGATGGCCATCTGACAGCAATGCTGATTCTGTGAACTTGGGCAGATTGTGAGAGGGAGGGCAAGAAGGGTTGCATCCATGCTTAGTTCTTGTGGCCCTTTCTTACATGCCCAGGGAAATGCTGATCGCCACTTTGTGGTCAGGAAGCAATTGTTCTCCAGGCCAGTTTGCCTGGAGATCCTGGAGGTGGGTTTTTTTTGGTCATCTTCTGGACGTGAAACGCAGGTAACTGGGGGTGGGGAGGTACTTGTGAATTTCCTGCATTGTGCAGGGGGTAGGACTAGATGACCCTGGAGGTCCCTTCCAACTGTATGATCCTATAGCCAATGACCCCCCCCCCACACACACACACAATACTGCTGGCACCCATTCCTGGGAGTCCTGAGAGACCCAGAGAGGGGTCATGCAACCACTGTAAGTTAGCACAGAGGCTAGGCTGAAGCAGCATGTTCAGCAACAGGAGTGGAATTTGTAACCCAGGTGGATGTGGAATAACTGCACAAGCCACAGATCCCACTGAAGGAGAAGTGTGTGTGCACGCAAATGCACACACGCTTATGCTTAGCCCGACCAACCTGTAGCTTTCCCCCTGTGACCTTCTTCCCTCTTGCTTTTCTTTTCTAAATGAGGTCCGCAATCTAGAGTTCTAGCTGGCTTTTCAAGAAAGCACAGGGTAGGTTGAATCGCCACCTCTTGCCTGCTGTTTCTCTGCAGTCAATTATCACACACCCTTCCCTGCACTGTTTCTTTCTAGCTCTTTGACTGCAGCCCTGGCCTTGCCACTAATTGCACACTTCTAGCTCTGCAAATGAGCTGTGAACCAGGAAGGTGGTTTGAATCCCACCAAGGCTACAAACTTGACAGGGGCCTTACCTAAGTCACTGTCCTTCTAGCCTTAGCCTCCAAACTGCAATAAAAGACAACTGTACTGGCCTACCTCACAGGTCAGTTGCAAGGATAACCAGGTGAAGTGCGTGAAAGACTTTGAGCACAGGGACCCTTCAGCAAACCCCACATTCTAAGCTCGCTCGCTGGCTCACCCAAAAGACTGCAACTGAAGTATCCACCAGGGTTACTTGTGCCTTGAGCCAGACCTGGCTCCACAAAACCCAGGGAGCTCCACGGCAGCAGAGGCTTTGCTCCCACGTGCAGAGCCCTCCTCCGAGGCAAGCCCAAGGACCATGTGGCCAAGTCAGGCATCTGGCTGAGTTTTCAGGCCCTGACTCCCCCTTGCTATCACAAGTTTAACTGAGGCTTAGCTGCAGGAACAGTTTTGAATTGTAGGGCCTCGAAGCAGTGTTCCCTCTAAGCTGAGTTAGTGTGAGCTAGCTCACAGTTTTTTAGCCTCCAGCTCACACATTTTTGTCTTAGCTCAGGAAGGATGGCTCCAGAGCAAACTAATTTATGCAGTAGCCAAATCGCTCGCTCACAACTTTAATACCAGTAGCTCACAAAGTAGAATTTTTGCTCACAAGACTCCACTGCTTAGAGGGAACACTGCCTCGAAGCCATTAAACAGGAAGCAATGCCAAAGACATCTGTGCATGCACAGAGTGCTCTTCCTTTTTTCATCTCTCTCTCTCTCTCTCTCTCTCTCACACACACACACACACACAATCTTTTCAAATTGGAGGGGAAAGGGCTTTCTGGATCATAAAGCACAAATTCCAGGCTACTAGAATCCCTGGCACTGCCATTTTTCAAAAATAAACACCTGAACACCAATGTAATTGAATCTGTTCAGTGTCTAAACTACATCAAGTTAAATACTCTGCAAGGGGCTTAGGGCCTCAAACTGGGATTCTGGGCACCTTTCACCATTGGGGCACCCTGCAAGGAGAGGAAACTGCACTGTACACTGCAGCAGCACCACCACCACCACCAGAGGTGGCCATAGGTTGGTAGTACAGCTACCAACTATCTGACTACAGCAAGCAGCCCTACTCTGCCTTCGTTCCTTATTCTGAGCAAGTTGTCATCAGGGACTGAATGAGCTACTTTCAGGGCTGTCCATATTTCAGGGCTGAACGGGTTGCTTAGCCCATCCAGTAACTGGGTCGGGAAGATACTGCTCCTGGGAAAGGATCACTTTGAGCTGAAGAAGACCACACAGACACCAGATAACTCTCCAGATGACAGCTCCCTCCGTCTCTCCCCCCTCTTCCACATCTCTCCCTAATTGATGCTTTAATATACAATACAACCCGTCTTGATCTCTAGGGCTAAACATGGACCAGAGAGGTCATGCGATGCAATGCAATGCAATGCAGTCAGATCCTGAGTATGTAAAAAAACCTGCCTGCCAAGACTTTCAGACAAAAGCATTTCATTGGGACACAACTGCACTTTGCAGAATATGCTGCCCCTTCGTGACTCACAGGAATGTAGCCCCATCCCCCAAGATCAGTGTGTGGAGTATAGTCTAGAGCAGGGGTGTCGAACTCATTTGTTATGAGGGCCAGATCTGACATAAATGAGACCTTGTTGGACCAGGCCATGTGTGTTATAAAATGTAATGCCAGGTAGCGGAGATATAAACTTACACAAAGATTTTTTTTAACTTAAAATAAAAATAAAAACATGCTGAAAACATTAGCTCTGTAAGCTGCAAACCTACTTTTGAGTTATTGACATTCACCACAGAAATCTCATGCTCAGAGTTCTGAGTCTAGGACCCAGGTTAAAACATGAAATGGCTGAGTGATTAAGAGAGTCTGGCGAAGCAAGCTATGATGCAGCAGCAGAACTGGAAGCAGGAGATGGCCAGTTCCACTGTGGGCCTGATGAAGCCCCCCGGAGGCCTGATCCGGCCCCAGGGCTGCATGTTTGACACCCCTGGTCTAGAGTGTCAGACTAGGACGGGGGAGACCAAGGGTTTTTTTTTAAAAAAACCCTCCACTAAGCCACGAAACATGTTAGATGACCCTTGGATCAGTTTCTCAGTCACCCTAGCCTACCTCACAGGGCTGTAGTGAACGTAAAACTGAGGAAAGGAGAGTCATGTATGTACTCTGAGCTTTCTGGAGGAAGGGTGGGAAAAAATGAGGTGGATATACAATTGAGAAATGAAAACAGAAATCATAAAACATCTGTTTAAGTTTAAACTCTTCTGGTATGCTTTGTTCTGTTCCAGATTCAGAATCACCACAGACTTTTCAAATTAAGACAGGTTTCCAAATAACCACTTGCTTGATGGGTGCGGATGAGTAAATACTGCTTCCAAGTGAACAGAAACTTGGTTTCTTATGGGCCATAAATGACAGCCCGTGAGCTACTAAGTTTTGTAGATGCTAGCCTGATCCAACAGCTCCAAGATGTTTTGCTATATCTACCCTATTTGTACTAATAAAGTGATCTGGATTCAAAGTAGCCCCCAATGAAGTTGACGTGCAACTGATTCAGGACAGACAGAAGGAAATACTACTTTACTTGATGAGTAATGCAACCTCCAGGGTATGTAGTGATGACTATGAGCGTCAAAAGCTTTAAAAGGGGGTTAGCCGTAGAGAGTAATAAGAAGAATGTATTGTCATGTAGCAGCTAACTCACGGTGACCCCATCCACGGGGTGTTTCAGGCAAGAGAGAAACGGAGGTGGTTTGCCATTGCCTTCCTCTGCATAACAACCCCAGGTTTCCTTGGTGGTTTCCCATCCAAAGACTGGCCATGGCCAACCCTGCTTAGCTCCCAAAGGGAACCTCTTATTCAGAGGCAGTGAACCTTTGAATATCTGCCAGAGGGCCTTGGCTTCTGTGTTTCTCCAGGGCAACTGGTTGGCCATTGTGTGAACAAGATGCTGGATGGGATGGACCACTGTTCTGATCCAGCAGGATTCTTCTTATGTAGCTACAGGAATTAGTCTGGCTCATGGTCCAAGATCAATAGGCCAGCCCTATCAATGTGGCTAGCTGAGTTGGTCAAAGCTGTACGGGAAACAGGAAGGGCTTACCTTGGCCTTTCCAGTGCTTTGTAGGATGTGGACCAAAGCTGAGGCCATCTCTTCCTTGTTCTTCACACTCAACACTGGCTCCAGGACTGAGCAGAGAGCCAGGTAGTTGTTGGTGATGTACTCTGCAAACTCCTTGTACATCTCCATGGGAAGGATGCTCATGCTTTGGTAGCGCGATTTGATGCGGATCATGGGTCCCCCAGATTTGCCCTTACTGGGGTTAGGCGTGACCACAGGGTACCACTTCTCAACAAACTGCCGTCCTGTGACAGAGCCTGCTGGGATGTTGACCAGCCCAATGAAGTTGGTCTTGTCTTTCTTCTTCTTCTTGTCCGTCTCTTTGTACAAATGGATGGTGATGCTCCGCAGCGATGGGAGGTTGTTGAACTCAAAGTGCTCCCCCCAAAAGACATTGTCCGTTTTCAACTTGCATGTTGTCCGTGCATAGAGAACCTCATCCAAGCACAGTTCGCATAAGTACTTCTTCTTGGCTGGTACGTCTTTCGCTTCAATAATCCATAGCTTGAGCATGTTCTCGACTCGCCTGCTATTGTCCTACAAAAGAGACGCACACAAAACAACAAAAGGTCAGGAAGGAGGAGGGGGAAGCAATTACACACAGCAAAAATGGAGGAACAGCTTAATTGTTGGAATGCGTTAGAACAGAACCGATTCTTAATTATGTTTTTACTTTAAGGAAATTACCAGCTCATGGGAATTTGCATAATAACCCCTGCTTATGTTCATTTTCCAAATATCACGGTGCTTTCTCATCTCACCAGTAGGAATTAGAAGAGAAAGAAGCTGATAACACACACACACACACACACACCTACTTTAAAAACAGCACCATTTCCAATTTGGCTGCCAGAGTAGTCTAAAAATGAAAGCAGAAAAACCGTAGCAGGACAGAAAAACTGTAGCAGGAATGAGTACAGCAACAGAAGCTGCTCCAGAAGTCCTGCGCCCCCATAGACTTCCCCTTGCTAGATTTTAGCAATGGAACAGAAAAACATGTTCTCCTCTCACAATGCACTAGGAACAGGAAAGCTGCAGTGACAGTTAGTCTCGTGTGTGGCAGAAATGCAGCCAGCTCTGGGGTGGGAATGCAGTTCAAAAACTACACAACAATATTCCCATTGGGGAAACTGGAAAAGGAGCAGTGATTCCTACAGACAGGGGAAATCTCACTTCAGATGACGGCTCAGTGGTCAAAATACCTGCTTCCTATGCACACGGTCTCTCTCTAGCTGAAGGATTTCAGATAATTTTTCCCTGACTGACATCCCTGGAGAACTGCTGCTAGTCAGAGCAAACAATACTGAGCTAGAGGAATCAATAGTTGGACTCATTGTGAGGGAGCTTCATATATATGTGAGATGTGTGAAAGCCAATATGGCGGCCAGGGTAGAGGAGTCATCCTGTGCAACAGGAAGTCACCCCAGGACTTAGTGTTCCGAGTTACCATCCAATATGCTATGTGGGAAACACGTTTGTGTGAAAATTCATTTACAGATCGATTTCAGATCATGTTCTTTCCACAGGATTGAAAGTAGTTGTTTTTGCATCTAGTTCTTTCATCTCGCTGCCCCTCTTCTCAAACAGCTTGCACAAATTTTGGAAACCAACAGAAAAACCTGGAAAACCAGCTGTCCCCGAACAAATGTGAAAGGAGAATCCACACCATGAACAGAGATCCCTTTTTCAAACTGACATTGATTCCTGTGTGAAAAGAACTCTGTTTTCGGTCTATTTCTTTAAACTGAATTCATGTGCCATAACACTGATATCCCTGCATTTCCCTCCTAGAAAGAAGGCACCATCTCAGGAAAATACAGAGAATCAGATGTTTCACTGGAGGAAAACACAATATGCTTCTTGCTCTTAACAGGGGAAGACCAGCAGCCTCAGGCAGCCCAGAAAGGTGGCTGACACACCCCCCCCGCTACCTTGTTGGGATGCACAGCTCTCCGCAGGTTCTCCATCCATTTGTCCCGTTCTGCAGCAGATCGGCATGAGAAGCATTTGCTACCTGATGCAGTCGTCACCTGGAAAAGAAGGGGACGGGGATCGTTTCTGACAAGCAGAGCCAGCCTTATGGTTTCTGTAGCCCAGCACAAGAGACGGGAGCCTTCTGGTGAAAACAGAAATGGATCCAAACCTAGTCTCTTACCACAGTATTCTGCTCCTGACCTGACAGCAGCCAACCAGCTGCGCATAGGAAGGTCACAAGAAAGGAAAGGTCTACAAAACTGATTGTGTCTCTGGATACAGAGGTTCTGTTCATATCTCCAGGGGACAGCAATCCATCATGCTTGCAGCACCCACGAAGTCCTGGATCAGAAACAGAATGTTGCAACAGTCCAGCGCCTGACCCGACCCAGGAAGGCCAGAGTCTCAAACGTCCAGCTTTTCGCCTTTTGGCGGGGAAGCAGGAGGAGGGCATCCATACATGTTGGAAGAAATTGGTAAAAAGGAGTAGGAGAGAACTTTGGCTGCTACAGCCCAACCACCAGCACACTGAAGAGCTTGTGGCGTTTGGCGGGGAAGCAGGAGGAGGGCATCCATACATGTTGGAAGAAATTGGTAAAAAGGAGTAGGAGAGAACTTTGGCTGCTACAGCCCAACCACCAGCACACTGAAGAGCTTGTGGCAATTTCATAGTGAGAACCCACACTGTTTGCAAAAAAGCATGATGCTTCCCCAGTGCGTACGCCAGATTCTTTAATCCCCGCTATCACCTCTGCTCAGGGAGGTTTTGCTTGGTCACTATCACATTTTAGTCAAAGCGCCACCCTATTCCTGCTTCCCTTGGTCCACTAGAAACAGCCTGTCCTGTCCTGTATGAGGATGCCCAGGCAACAGAGCAACGAAGAACAACCAACAAGAAAGGTGCAGGTCTGCCTACATCACCTGCCAAGGTGGTCTCAAATGAGCCCCGCTCCTTAGATACTCTGTGAAAACCCACAGTCCCAAGAGGAAAACAATTTTCCTCCTCTTTTGCTTACCTACATGTGAAAATGGTGACCACAGCAATAGAAAGAACTAGCACTACATTTTTGGGAACTAACCTCAGTTTGCCTCAGCACCTTATGATTTTGCCTCAGTCAGCCATTTCAGCTCAACAGACTTTCTGAAGGAGAGGCCAAGGCCCAACCTGACAGAGGCCCAACTCTTTCCTTATCCTACTGGGGCTGGAAACATGAAACTTGTTCAACGAATGGCCAAAATGCAGCAAAGGAAGAGGAAGAAGAGATTGGATTTATACCCTGCCTTTCACTACCCGAAGGAGTCTCAGAGCAGCTTACAATTTACTTCCCTTCCTCTCCCCACAACAGATATTCTTGTGAGGTAGGTGGGGCTGAGAGAGCTCTTTTGAGGACTGCTCATGAGAGAACAGCTCTGAAAGAACTTGTAACTGACTCAAGGTCACACCAGCAGCTGCATGTGGAGGAGTGGGGAATCAAACCCGGTTCTTCCAGATTAGAGTCCATGCTGTTAACTAGAAGTGTGCAAAAATAAAAATTAAAAAAAAATTCGGCCGATTTGGTTTCCACCGAATCCGGCAGAATCAATTTCGGCTAGCAGTAAGACTCCTGCATGTCAGTTTCGTCAGTATTCCAGAGTCTTTCTGCCAGCCGAATGTCAATTTCAGCCCCATTATATCCTATGGGCCATTGAAGTCAATGGTGAAAACATAGGGTATATTCTGGGGGCTGGAGGGGAGGGGGTTTGAAGAAGAGGCTCCAAACTCGCAGGGTAGCTGCTGGAGTCTCTCCCCAAGATACCCACCAGGTTTCAAAAACATTGGACCAGGGGGTCCAGTTCTACAGGCCCCCAAACAGGTTGCCCCATCTCTTCCATTGGTTCCAATGGGGAAACCTAGCCAGCAGCACTTAAGGCAGGCAAGCAGGCAGCACCCAGCAGTCAGACTCTCCCAGAGAATCTCAGGGAAAGTGAACTGTCTTGGGAGGTGCTTGTTTGCCATGAGAACAAGTGGCACACTCCAGAACAAGTGGCACTGTGGCAGTGCAAGCATGCCACAGTGCCACACAGAAACCCCAAAAGACCGACAGGAACAACATTTATACAATTTATATAAATTGATGGTGCAACCAGAAGTCCAGGGATGTAGCAAGCCAGGGTAGAGTTGGGTAGAGTTAACTCTCTCTCCCCCCTCCCAAGCAAGGAAGGTGGTGTGCAAAGCAACACCACCAACCTTGCAGGCTGCACATGCATATAGCAATTGGCTGAAACTGGCTCCCCCCCCGTTGGTCTTTTGGAGGTTCTGTGTGGCACTGTGGCATGCTTGCGCTGCCACAGTGTCACTTGTTCTGGAGTGTGCCACTTGTTCTCATGGCAAACAAGCACCTCTGGGAGAGTCTGACTGCTGCCTGCTTGCCTGCCTTAAGTGCTGCTGGCTGAGTTTCCCCATTGGAAACAATGGAGGTAATGAGGGCAACCTGTTTGGGGGCCCATAGAATTGGACCCCCTGGTCCAATGGTTTTGAAACTTGGTGGGTATCTTGGGGGGAGACTCCAGCAGCTACCCTGCGAGTTTGGAGCCTCGTCTTCAAACCCCCTCCCCTCCAGCCCCCAGAATATACCCTATGTTTTCACCATTGACTTCAATGGCCCATAGGATATAATGGGGCCGAATTGCCGCCGAATTTTGGCAGCAATTCAGCAGCAAGCCGATTCAGATCAGAGAATCTGAATTGGTCCGCAGCAGCCCGAAAGGGGCCCGAATGGGCCATTTTCCCTACTCTTAACCACTACACCAAACTGGCTCTCAACAGGAGGTCTGGTGAGGCCTGACTCTTCCTCTTCTGCACACTCCAGAAGGTGAATTTGTGTTTATAAGAGAACAAGGACTCAGCTAAGATGGTTCATTTTCTTTCTGCAGAGCTGAATCTAAAGATAGGTCTTTTTTCTAAGGTCTATTTTGCTTTCAGTTATTTATACCCAACTTAGCTCCCCAGTGGGAACCTGAAGTGGCTTACAAGATCATTTTCCCTTCCTTCATTTCATACACAGAACAGCCAACCTGTAAGAAGCAGATTAGACTGAAACTGGCTGATCGAAGACCACTCATCACGACAGAGTGGGGATTTGAACACGAGTTTCCCAGACCCTTAGTCCAGCACTCTTAACAACTGCTCCATGCTGGTTCTCAACCCATCCAGCACTCAGGAAGAGCTGCCACCACTTGGCTTTCCAGCAGACTCCAGAGGGGCTTTGACAGATGGCTCTGATCCAGCACTTAGCTGAGCCCCTGTTCTATGCGTGCCACGGAGAGTCTCCTCCAGAAATAATGGAATCATTTGCTCTTCTGCACTGTACATGAAAAGGGTCTTGGCAGCACCTGCTGGGCTTTCCTATCCATTAGGTGCCTCCTGAGGTTCTGTTGGACTGAAGGTCTTGTGCTTGCTGGCCATCGACTGCAGCCTCCACCTCCCCACATCCCAGGCACACAGTTTTCAGCAAACACGTCCAAAGTAGAAGATACCCGTTTTGATACAAGCCCAGCAGCCGAAGTGTTCCCTCTAAGCTGTGGAGTCTTGTGAGCAAAAATTCTACTTTGTGAGCTACTGGCATTAAAGTTGTGAGTGAGCGATTTTGCCGCCGCGTAAATTAGTTTGCTCTGGAGCCATCCTTCCTGTGCTGAGACAAAAATGTGTGAGCCGGAGGCTAAAAAACTGTGAGCTAGCTCACACTAACTCAGCTTAGAGAAGAGGAGAAGAGATTGGATTTATACCCCGCCCTTCACTTGGAGTCTCAGAGCGGCTTACAAACTCCTTTCCCCTCCCCTCCCCACAACAGACACCCTGTGAGGTGGGTGGGGCTGAGAGAACCCTGACACAAACTGCTCTTTTTCAAGGACAGCTGTGCCAGAGCTTGTGACTGACCCAAGGCCACATCAGCAGGTGCATGTGAAGGAGTGGGGAATCAAACCCGGTTCTCCCAGATTAGAGTCTGTGCACTTAACCCACTACACCAAACTGGCTTAGAGGGAACACTGCCCAGCACAGAGGTGCATCTCCCCCTCTTCTATAGATAACCTCCCCAGCATGCAGAAAACATTTAAAGAGGCTATTTCCTCACTAGGATGCTAGGCTGTTTTAATCTCAGCCTCCCCCTTGCCCCCAGTGCCCTTTAAGATTAGCCATAAACGGACACCCCCAGAGAGCTGCAGGTGCATCTGTGGCCTACATCTGAGCAACAGGCAGCCTCATGCTCTCCTTGCCTGGCATCCCACTGACCCATCACCTCAATGATGTGCCTCTGATAGAGCCCCACAGAATTGCCTTGACTCTTCCTATGAACATTTTGGTGGGATTGTTTGTGTGGGATGGCTTGGCTTCCCTGATCTCATGAAAACCACGTGGTGGGTGAGGTCAGACGGTGTGCTGAGAGCGGGTTAAACTGCTCCGGTTCTGACCGGATTATATTTGATCTGGAAAATCGCGATCACACTTACCTCCCTTATCCTGCCTCACTGTGCAGTCACGTCGCTCCCCGGCATCTACACTACTGACGCGCGGGAGCGTGTGTCGGCGGGTTTTTAATTTTTTCTCAGTTTGCACATGCACATAGGCGCCCCCCCGTAGAATGGGGGGGGCGAAACTACCATGGTGCATGTGCAGATTCACCAGGGCGAATCAATCCAACCCCTCCAACAAAAGACTTCCCTTTACACATTTGACCCGAAAATGGCCTCCGTGAGATCCTGAACTCAGCGAAACTCTAAAGTGACCGTTTAAATGTCAGTTTTCTAAACACGGTAGCGGAGCTCCGCCTATGCGCGCACTGCTGATGCTAAAAAAAAAAGGTGGGCGAAAAGCCTCGGGCAGCTTTCGAGCGGAGAGGGGGTTTAAACCGGAAGTGGCTCGACACCGCAGGGGCTATCACACAGGGGGGAAATGTGGCTTTAAATGGGAGAGCTGACAAAACACCACTTTGGGACCTGGTAACAAAATACTCTGGGTTAAAGCAGTTTTGAGTCGGAAACCAAAGGCTGGGGACAGGAGGCAGATGTTGACTGTGTG